GGTAGGCAGGAGATGAACTGTAGAGGAACCTATATACCTTGACAAAGTTTAGATCTTACTTCTCTGTCCTGCATTTCCCTCTTTTGAGAATGCTTTTTCCCCTTTCTCCTGCCCAACTTAAACCAATAATGATGACAAATTCTCTCTCCAGAAATTCATTCAACAGGTGTTTGTTGGAACACCTACAATGTGCTATGTACTGTCTAGGTGTTTGGGCTACATGAGTAAAAATCTTGCTCTGTGCATATGCTTATGTTCCAGTAGAGGGAAGTTGATAACTAATGATATACGTTAGTATTGGGATATTAGTGAACGTGCAGTAAAAGTTGTCAGAGAATGGCCAGTGCTATGGAAAAAAGAAAAGTAGGGTACAGTAATGGAGACTGGAGCAACCAGGGAGCAGCAGGGCAGACTGGAATATTAAATAGGATGAATAACGGAGCAAAAGTTTGAAGGAGCAGAGGAAGTCAGCCAGTGAATACTTCAGTGAAGAGTGTTCTAGGCAGAGGGAACAGCTAGAGGAAAGCCTGAAAGAAAGTAGTGGATGAGGTCAGAGAGATTATGTGGGACTTGTAGGCCAATTAAAGAGTTTAACTTTGACTTACTGAATATGGAGAGCCACCACAAGATTTTGACCAGTGGAGTGATATGATTTGATTAATGTTTTAGGAGGCTTGCTCTTCATGCTGTGTTGAGAAAAGACTGTAGAGCTGCAAGGATACAAGCAGGGAGATGTGTTAGGAGAAACTACAGAAATACCAACCACCTACGTACATTCATGTACAGTAAGAAAGCTGCAGTGATTTCAAGCATTTCAGGGAGCCAGATAATCTTAGCAGAGTACTGAGTCCTCAGTAAATTCTAGTGATTAGTTTATGATTTTAGTTTAGATATGCCTCATATGACTTATTCAGTAGATTACAAGTAGCTCTTACTCACATGTAAAAATTAAAGTCCACAGACTTACAGGCTTTACAAACTTGTGTCCCTATCGGAACTGGAGAAAGGACTTGCATTTTGGAGTTGGTGTGTAGCCTATCAAGAGGACCTTGAGAATTCAATGATGAAGATTGTCAGTTACTTCTAAGGTTAAGAAGAACAATCAGTTTGAACTCAACCTCAAATTCATATATTTGAGGGACATGCCCAAGCAAAACATATGCCATACAGGACACGGTAAGATATGATAAACATTTTAAGTAAATACGAAACCAGAACAAACAAAACAAAATGCCTCTAAGATTCAGACTATAGATCAAAAGATAGAGATCTTTTGAAGGATAGAGGTATTTTGAAGGTACTTTTAGTTCTGAGCATAGCAATCTTACATTAAATTGGGCCTATTACTTTGAAAAGTAGCCCATTAAAAATTCTATGTGATATATATATTTTTTAAAGATTTTATTTATTTGACAGAGACACAGCGAGAGAGGTAACACAAGCAGGGGGAGTGGGAGAGGGAGAGGGAGAGGCAGGCTTCCCACCAAGCAGAGGGCCTGATGTGGGGTTCGATCCCAGGACCCTGGGACCATGACCTGAGCCGAAGGCAGACACTTAATGACTGAGCCACCCAGGCGCCCCTCTATGTGATATTTTATCCATATGATGTATAGTCTGACACATTTTTATCTTGGAAAGATACATGAATCAAGGTAGGAGATGATTTTAAGATACTTCCTCAGGATTCCCTTTAATAGGAAAATCATGTATTGTAGTAAAGAAATGTAAAAATGAAACACAGTAAGATCACTCACTTCTGTTTCAATCCTGTAAGAAGTCAGCTGTCCCAATGATACCATCTCCTGTGCATTGTATTTCACAGTGTCTCCAGGAAGGTGAGAGGCAGTGGGGGTGTAGGGAAACACAGCCATTGGCACCCAGCATGCTATGTTACTGGTAGAAAATAGTGCAGGGTCCAGGATGTGGCTCTACTGTAAAAGGAACACCAAAACTGTTTAATTTGGACAACCACTTTCAAGTTTACCTTTACGTACTCAACCTAAAATAACTAAAAGAAGTGTTCTTGTTTTCCACTTCCCAGTTCCTCCTGTTTTCTATTTTGCGATGCTCACAGTGTAATTCTGAACCTTTGTTGTACATTAGTCACTTAGGGAGTGTCAAAATATACCCATGACCAGGCCAGGGTCCTAACCCCAGAGATGGGTTCATTTGATCTAGGGTTGGACCCAGGTGGTATTTTTGAAAAGTGACCCAGATAATTTTAATGTGCAGCCAGGGCTGAAAACCACCATGGTTTCACATTGGAGTAAAAATATCTAGGTTCTAGTTGTAGTGCTGCCATTTACTAGCTGGCTGATTTTTAAGTCTTCAATTTCCCACAGGATGATGAGGTTGGCTTAGAGATTTATTAAATTCTCTAACTCTCAACTAAAACAAAATTTTTTATTATTATGTTATGTTAATCATCATACATTTCATCATTAGTTTTTGATGTAGTAAATTGGGATACATATGATCTCTTTTAGTTTGCTTAGCTCTAAAAAGATGAAAAAGGAATCATTTGGAGTATGCTCTTTTGGTTTGAAGCAAGGGAGTTAAAAAAACAGCACTTAAGTAAACTTTTCCTTCTTCCCTCTTCCCAGTTACAAGGCATGGGAGAAAAGAAACACAGACATTTAAGCTTAGAAGTCACAGGAGACTTCTAGGGCTGCTTTGTCTGTCCCCAGCTCTCTTAAATTGGGAGTTAGTCATATGGTACCTGGGGAACAGAGGCAGGAGGGAGAGTGCTTACTACACACCAAGAAGGTAAATATAATACAATCCCCAAAGGCCTTACACTACTCATCTGACCATAATCTGGCCTGGTACTAAACACTGCAAGTGTGGAAGGTGAGGTAGGGGTGTGCACATAATACACACACACACACACACACACACACACACACACACACACTCCCCAACTCTCTTGTGGAGAGCGCCCAGAAGAGGATGGTCACCAGTGATGCGCCCACAGTCAAGGCCATGGGGCTTCTCCTCCACCCCTCCCAGCTCGCTCCCAGTCCTGCCCCCACCCGGAGGGTTGTCCGGACTGCGCTCAGCTGGGTTCAGAGAAGGCGGCGGCAGCCACTGCCATTCTCCCGCAGCTGGTTCTCCGTATCTTTCACTGAATCCATCTCTGTGCCTCTAAAAACAGACGCAGACGCTAACTTGATCCCCTCGCTTCTCTGCCTCTTCTCTCTAGACTAGGCCCCCCCCAGGAAGGGCCAAATAGACCGCAGCCCTTGGCTCAAGCTCAGGCTCATTCTCACCCTCCGGATTATCCTAGCACCCTCACAGCTTCCTGGCTCCTCTTCATCCTCACACCTCTCCCAGACAAACCCTAACTCCCCCAATCTCATCTCCCTACTTCTCCGCGCTCTCCCACGTTGTCCCCTCAGTACCTCTCCACGCATTCTTGGCCAAAAGCCTTCAGTTTTCCAGAACTTCCTCATCCTCCCCTCCCCAACTCCCACCTCCTGCACAGGGTTCCTGGTCCTCGACATCACCTGCATTCCCTACTTGCTCATAGCTCCCTCTCCCTCCTTTTAAGGAACCCTGGCGAGACCCCTCACCCCTGGCACCCAAGGGGACCCTCCTTCCAGGATCCCACCCACGACACCTCGGGAGTCCCTCCACGCACTCACTCTTACACCTCCAAGCCCGACACCTGGACATCCTCCCCCTTATTCCGAACAGTTCCCTCCTTTCTAAAACCATAGGTGCCCCCACTTCCCAGTCACACCCCATCTCCTCCCCTGCCCCCAGGCTCCCACTCCTTTACCGCCCGACCTGACCCCCAGGGCGCCCCGCATCTACCAAGGCTCAATCTTCGCCCCGACTCTCGACTTCTCAGGCGCCCCCTCACAGGCTCTCGTTCTCCAACCCCTCCCCCCCGAAAACTCGCTCCCCACCCCCCCTCCCCGCCCGCCCCCAGCCCACAGGTCGCGCTCGGGAGGGGTGCTCGCCGTGCCCTGGCCTGGGCGGCCGGGAGGTGACGCGGCCCCCGCGGGAGGAGCCCGGGAGGCGGAGGGGCGGAGGAGGCGCTGGCGGCGGCGGCAGCAGCGGCGTAGGGAGTCGGCCCTCGGCGCCGACTCCAGGGACCCAAGGGGCGGCGGCGGCTGAGGGTTCGCCGGCAGGCGCGTGATGAGGGAACACCAGCGCCCGACCCTGCTACGCGTCGGAGCTCGCTCGGATCCGGGCGTTGGCAGCCGATGGGCCCCGGGAATCTCCGCCGCGAGCCCTTGTCATCCCTTCCTCGCTTTCGCTTCTCCGCTCTAGCCCGGAGCGGTCTCCGGCGGCTGTCCTCGGCCCCGCGGCCCTTTCGCGGTTGTTTCTGGAGGGGTCCTCCCTCCGCGGCGCCTGGAAGCCCAGTGACGCGTCAGTCGGCGGGACAGCTGAGCTGCTTCTCTGGAAAATTAGCCCCTGTTTCCTTACCTACCCTCTCGGCTCCCGCCTCGGCGCCCCTCCGGCTGGCAGGACGCTGCCTCCCAGCGCCTGGAGCGAGTTCCCGGGACTCCCCCAGGGGGCCAGTTCGCAGCTTACCCCTTTCCCCTCCGCGGCGGCGCGCGCCCCCGCCGGACACACTCGCGCCCCGGCCGGCGCGCCGCCCTCCCGCCCGCTCCTTCCAGTCACCCCACCCTTAGCGGTCCCCGCCACCTTACTCCACCACCCTCCCCCGCCGCTCCGCGCACACCGCGTCCCGGCCCGGCCTCCCGCTCCTCTCTGCCAAATCGCTCACTTGCCAGCCCTTCGCCCCCGGGAAGAAGAAACATTTCCCGGAGCGCACTCCTCAGCCCTCACTCCCCCTGAGCTCGCCCTCCCCCCCCGCCCCGGCTATTTCTTTCTTGGGGGAGGGGGGCTGTCGCCTCGGATTGAAGGCCATTGATTTGTATGTATTTGTCCCAGCGCCGGAGGCTGCCCCAGCCGCCCGCGCGGGTGCCGCTGCCGCCGCCAGTGGAGTTGCCTCCCTGCTTCCCTAGGGTGGTTAAGCTCCACCAAACATGTCGGCTCCTGTCGGGCCGCGGGGCCGCCCGGCTCCCACCCCGGCGGCTTCTCAGCCGCCCCTGCAGCCCGAGATGCCCGACCTCAGCCACCTCACGGAGGAGGAGAGGAAAATCATCCTGGCCGTCATGGATCGGCAGAAGAAAGAAGAGGAGAAGGAGCAGTCGGTGCTCAAGTAAGGACCCGGCTCCATCTTCCCGCCTCCCTCCCTACCCTCCGCCCCCACGGCCGCTGCCCTGCGGCCGCCTGCGCGCCCGGGATCGCCGCCCGCCCTCCAGCCGGCGGCGCCTGGGCCACGAGGGTTGCAGCCGCCGGCGGCCGCCGGGGCTGCTTTCTGGGTGTCAGAGTGCGGGGGTGTGTGTCGGGGAGGGAGGGCGCCGAGGCCGGTTGAGATGAGGGTGGCGAGCCCTTGAACGTTGTAATTTTCCCGGGCGTCCTTCCGGCTTCCCCCGCGGGCCAGGTGGGCTCCAGGGCCCCCACGGGGCTGAAGCTGAACCCAGGCTCCGCGCGTCCCCTCTCCTTTCCAGCCGCCCCCGTGCGGAGGCAGTGACTGGGGCAATGAATCCAATATGGCCGTGCACAGGTGCTCCCCGGCCGGGACCCGGGCGAAGGCGCGCCGCCGGGGATGCGGGCGCAGCCGGGGCGTCTCGTCCCGCGTTTCCGCAGGGCGGCTCTGCCTCCAACGCGGAGACGAGCAGAGCTGCCCACCGTCGCTGCGGGCAGGAGGGCGGCGGTGCAGGCGAGGGGCCTAAGCTCTGGCACGTCTCGGGTGGGTGTGCGGCCGCCGCCATCTTCCAGCCCCTCCCCCTCGGCGGGTTCTAACACCCTGCACTCTGCTGCTCTTTCTGTTTGCAACTAGTAAATCTGTTTAATCCTGAAGAGACTCTGAAGAGGCTCCCTTTCCTACCATTACTGCAGTTTGGGATGCTTCCTACCTTGCGAAGTTCTAGTACTCGTGTTCATAGCGTAGGCGGCCGGGATTTTGACGAGGGTGGGATAGTAAAAGCAGCACCCAGGCATCGGTTTAGCGCTGTGTAACTTCAGCACCAGGGAACTGTCCAGACAGAAATACAGCTTTGAGACTCCTTTCAGTCTAGCAAAGAGATTTGTTTCTACAGGTTTGCTTTTAAATGTTTTATGGGCATTTGATTTCTCAGTTACTGTATGAAAGAGATTGTGCAGAAGACGCGTAACCTTTTTATGTTTTTCCAACTCAACTTTTTTCTTTTTACTTGAAATGAATTACTTACTAAGAGATTAACTTGTACAGTTTATATGTTAAAGGTGGGATGGTTCTTCTGGGTGTTATCAAATACACTTTTCCTATATTCTCCACAGAAACACACAATTGAAAGAGTAGAGTTCCTCTATGAAGGAACTAATACATGACCTCTAGTCATGTAAATTTTAAAAACAGGTTCAATTCAGTATTCTTTAATACACTTATAAAGAAACAAATTTCTGTCTATACATATATATTTTCATATTTTAATGAAAAATACTATAAATTGTGATAACAAATGTATCGAATATCTGAGAAAAACACAATTTCTCAAAAAATATTGAAGCACTAAGAGAGCAAATGTTCTGACATATTAACTGGAATGAAGAAGAATTACTTTTTCAAAGCTAATTTCTGGGTTTGGAGACTTGTTTGGGAATATGATTTATTAGTAGCCTTGGGAAATGAAAAACTGTTAAGAGATTAACTAGCTTATTTTAACTAATGGAGGAATAAAGCATTACTTTTAAAAGCTTTTTGAGCATTCTACTCACTTTGCTTTAACTATATATACTGACAATACCAAGCTTTTGATAACTTAAGAGTGTGATATTTAGATATATGAATCTATACTTCTTACTATAATTGCAGTAAAATTAGTGGTGCCAAAATGATGTCAAATAAAAGGTAGTTTTATTTCTTTGACCCATATATTTAAATGTACAATGTGTTTTTATTTCTTTGTAGTATGCTAAATCATAGTATTTACTGGCTAGTTCACTCTTGTTCTGATATATAGAAATTTAAATGAACTTTTGAATACTAAATTAAGAATTACTCAGAGTGACCAGTATATTCCATTAGGAAAATGTTGTGAAAGGGTTTTTCACGTAGGTATATTACATACATTTCTATGTAAACCCACATACTATGCAAATACATATAATGTTAATGCATTCATAATTGCACAGTTTAGGTAAAAACATTCTCTAAACATACACTCATACAGGCTATGAAATTACATTGATGAAAAGTCTGTTCATATTTATTTTAAATATCTATTTGCATTTCTACCTACTAGTCTTGGAAGGAGTCATACCTCAAAGTGGCCTACATGGTTTCAGAACTATTTTTATATTCATTTTAACAAGAAGTTTTTTGGAGGTTAAAGCATAAAACATTTAATTTTAAATGTTGTTTAAAAATGTTTTTGGCTTTTGTAATAAAGTAAGGTGAGGCAAGGAAAATGAAAAGAATAGACTTTATGATAGAATTATAATAAAGATAGTTTTGAAGAATTTTATAATTTATTAAGTAATATTATATTGGGTATTAACTTATAAATACTATATGTAAGAAAAAATGATACTAGTATTCTTCAATGATTACTATTTCTCATTAAGTTTTAGGGACTGTTCATCTGGTCAAGACTACATTATCCTTTGTTTTTCTTTAGTGATGTCCATTAAATTGCATGTTAACATCTATTCTGAGAGAAGGTCATGGGCAGAGAGAAACTGAAAATCAAATTCATGTCTGCTGCTTGTAACAACTATATTAGAAGATAAGTTTGATGTGTGAAAAACTGAAACCATTGGATGAAAATATTTTCATACTAAGTATTCGTACAGAATGGGGTGTGCATACCAAAGTATATCACAAGATGGTATGTTGGAGTACAGGAAGAGAATATTAAAACTTCTATTTCTGTTTCTATTTTTATTTGAAAAAGAAATTCCGTTTTACTGATATTTAATATATAGATTGACAATATTAAGATGCATATAATTTGTGAATAAATATGCACATATTAAGAAGTTCCTGCCTGAGATGTTTTTAATGAGAGAGGTGAGCAATCAAAGGTGATTGAGACCACTATTGAGACCATTACTATAGTAATCTCTCTCTTTGGGAAGAGATTAATTAAGAACTATTTATATTTAATGATTAGCAATTTCTTCAAAGCCTTGCTGAACATCCACATACTCAAGAAATCTTCTGTCACCATCAAGTAATTTCATTTTACATGGGATTAAGATACTAAAAGTTTGGAAGCATTTTTATATCTCAGTAGATCCCTCAATAGATCAGTAATTACTTTTTTATCCTTACATGAAAATCCTTTTATAGTTTTAGTTTTGATAACTCAATCTACTGGTAAAATCTATAATGTTCTTTTATTTATTAATATTTTTAAGCCTTGTCTTTCAAGATTGTAAGCTTCTTGAGGGCAAGAATAAAAATGTACTCTTCTTTGAAGTTTCTGTTTTGCAGCATCTTTAACACCTGCACATATTAGGTACCTAATGAGTAATGTTGCTATGACTTGTGGTAATGTTAATGAGGCAGATTACAAATTTTGTTGGGAAAATGAAGAATAATTTCTTTGCAAGAAAAGCATAATTTATTAAGTTTGTAGTTTTCAGTGGTTTTGTTGCTGTTGTTGTTGTGGTATTGTGAAAAAAATGCATGAGAAAAGCAAAACCACTGAAATCAATAGAAAAGTATTCATTCAGTAAATATTTATTGAGTTTCTACTAGTGCATGTTATAGTCTTTCAGATGAGGGTTTTTTTATATCAAATTAGAAATTATGTTTCTTGATGTGTAAATTATCTTTTTATTCTTAGTTTGGATTTTCTGTTAATGTCAAAGAGATAATTTACTCCCCAAATAAAGGAAGACAATGAGTAAAAGTTTCATGATAGATCAGAGTGACAATTTAACTTACATTTAAAACATAGATGAGCAGTTCTAGATTTTTAAAAATAATTTAAGAGTATTTTTCAAAGTCACTTTATAAGCTTCTTTATTTAATGGATAATATATACCTACAGTACAAAATTTCTTAGCTGTGTTTTTCCCCAAGCTAGAGGCAACGACTCTTGCCAGTTTATTGTATACCATTCTAGAGATATTCTTTATGTAGGAGTAGATATGTGTATACATCACACATATGTATGTGTATGTGTGTGCACACAGATATATGGATGTATATGTGTACATATAAAAAACACAAATGTGTACTGTGGTTTACTCTTTAGGAGATCAGTTCCACACCCATTAATATATAGTTTTCTCATTCATTTTAATGGCTGCATAATATCTCATTTTGTGAATACTCTGTAATTTCTTTAACTAGAACTCTATTTTTGGATATTTAGGTTGATTCTAATTATTTTGCCATTAGAAACAGCACTGCGATAAGTATCTTTGTACATATATCATTTCCTATGTATGTGAATATATCTTTGGAATACATTCCTAGAAATGCATTGTTGGGTCAAAAGGTCAGTTGTATTTTAAATTTTAATAAATATTGCCAAATTTACTTTCATAGAATAAGTATGCATAAGTGACATAAACTAGGGAGACTCCTACATCCTTTCCAATTCAGTGTGTGATAATCTTTGCCAATATTTTGGTGAAAAATATGCCATTGTAGATTTAATTGAAGTTTTCTTATCAGTGAGGCTGAGAGCCTTTTATATTTGTTTAAAGTCTTGTTTTTCTGTTGGTCATTTTTAGTGATTTGTAGAAGCTCTTTTTATTGTCATTTGTTTTATGACCTTTTTTTATTGGTCAGGATTTTTTTAAAAATGTGTTTGAATTTATTACTTTTTTATGGCCTTGGGGTTTATGATGTAGTTAGAATGATCTTCATTCTAATATTTAAAAAACTACCATATTGTCTTCTTACAGCTAAATGAAATTTTAAGAAAAAGGCATGTCAAATAATAGATGCAATTTAATCATGAAGACTTCTAAATAAAAATCATTATTGTACACGTAAATAGCCATGGCCATTGTCAAAAATTGAAAACCTATAGTTTCTAAGAATTTAAAATGCATTCTAAAACATTGATTGGCATTTTATGAGATAGTACATAATAAATTACATATATTCTGTATTTTAAAGTAACTAGGACAATTAAATAATATCTTTTTGTTGAC